GGAAGTATCAAGAGATCCTTGGAGTGGTACTATGTACAGTGTTGACTTCCCACGTGAAACTGTATTGAGGTAAACACCTGCATAACCTTCTGCCTCAGGGGGCACGATACACAATTTTCTTTGTCCAGACCCTCCTACAAGAAAATCAATTTATTATTTGTGCAACTGAAAAAAATCAATGAAATTTGCCATTACACAATGCACATAAGGCAGCAGATAAAGACAGGAAGCTTCAATATCTTACCAACAGCCTTAAATAACATCCATGACCCTTTCAATTCTGCCATTTTAGGGTAGTTCTCTTCAAGTTTTCTGGACAGCTGTGTATACATTATATAATGAAAGTCTTTTGTTAAAGAAAAACCAGTGTATAACGTGTACATTATTTTTATTAGCAATCTATCTGTCAAGGAAAATTTACTCCTGTTTCCTCCCACACCAAAAGACATATGTTACAAACATGCCATCATTGCATAAGAGTTCATTGCTCATCAACCTACCCCTTATGAGTAATGGTTAATACTAAATTATTAAAAGTATTACCACTTTCATTAAATATTACATTTCGAATAAAAAGTCCACTGTAACTCAAGATAACAATAGATTACCTCTGACTGGTATGAAATAGCACTAATGCAATTATTAATTACACAGCTTCAACTATGCAAATGTTTTTAGTCAAAGTGTAAATTAGTTTACATTGAGGTGAATGATAAAAGTAAACTCACAAAGCTTGATAACATCAAAAATATATCAAAATACACATCAACTTTAACAGCTTTATCAAACTATTTAAGAAGATTATGTTCATTTCAGTACAATGTGTGACCAATGCAATTAAATGAACATGTAAATGCCATGGTGACTTAAAAAAATCCTGACATTCTCTGTTACAATTTACCCATGAATGGTCAGCATCCTCTGGGACATTGATGGTTTTCCGACCCATCCCGGCCTGTAGAAGTTTTAATTCGTCGGATGTTGTTGGTGTCTTCTCCATATATT